GATTGATCGCCCTTTTACAAATCCATGTTGCTGTTTGGGAATGATTTCTTCCACTAAGAGAAACTGAGAAACGTGCTCTGTCTATGGATTCCATAACTTTACAGATTATGGGTGTGAGACTGATTGGGCGGTAGTTATTAGAGTCTAGTTTGTTTCCTTTCTTGAAAATGGGTGTTACAGAAGCTGTTTTCCAGATAGAGGGTAATGTGTGTGTATTAAAAGACAAAGACATTATAATAGATAAAGGAACTGATATGGTATTAGAGCATTTTTTTTTTAAATAGAGAGGCATAAAAGGTATTCCATTGCGATTAGTCAGAATTTGTAGTATATTAGTTACTCTTTGAAAGTGCCCACTAACAGTTTTTTGTACTTGAACCCGTTTCATCGGTGCCGGCCTCGAAAGCTCAATTTTCTCAAAAATTGTTATATTTTCGTTCTTATCAACGAAAATACCACTGTATGGATTTTCTGAGGTGCGCAGTCCAAAAGGTATAAACAGTTTAATGTATTAAAATCTAAAAAAAAAAAAAAAAATAATTTTTATTGTATTATTTTTTAACTCTACCTTATTATCGAATCAGTATACGCTTTTTTAACAAAATAAACTTTATTCAATTATTTTTTAGAACAAAAAACACGTGAAGTAGTAAATAAAGTAGAACTAAATATTGAAATGTATTTGTTGAATAAAAATTTATTATTTATAACACTGATTTTACTATCGTGGAGTTTTCAAATGTACGCTAGTAAAAAGTATGATAGAAAGAAAAGTTACAGGTGCAAAAAAAGATTTTTCTAACTTTACATATTTTTTAAGATAATTTTGGTATATTTTTAAACTAAGAACAAAAAAAAATATTTTACACTCAATAAATAGCATAATTTCATATGAGACATTTTACTCTTGTATTAAAAAAAAAATTTCATTATCCCTCCCCGATATTACCGATCTTTTTTTCTTAAAAAAAGTTGAATGAGGTTAATTTTGTTAAAAAAAGCGTAAGTTGAAAAATCATACAATAAAAATTAAAATTTCATATTTTTCTTTTTTAGATTTTTATACCTTTTGGACTACGCACCTCAGAAAATCCATACAGGGGTATTTTTGTAGAAAATTTAATTTCCTACAAATTGTTCTTTGACAATTTTGTTATAACTTCAACTGTTTTGTTGATAAGAACGAAAATATAACAATTTTTGAAAAAATTGGGTTTTCGAAGCCGACACCGATGAGACGGGTTCAAGTACAAAAACATGTTAGTGGGCACTTTCAAAGAGTCACTAATATACTACAAATTCTGACTATCGCAATGGATTACCATGAAATCAAACGGAGCTATATTAATTTAAATTTTAAAAATCATGGTTTATATGTTATTTAAATGGGAAATATACATCGATCGAAAGGAACCACTTAAAATCAAAATTACGGGCTCAAATTTGAAGGGAAGTTTTTTTTTCGATAAAAGGAACAAAATTTTCATGTCAGCGAAACAAAAAAATGTTCGTTTTAAATGGAGCACCCTAATATACATATATATGCCTACAATTTTTTAGGGTGGTAGGGGAAGTTAAATTATACAATTTTTGTTCTAAAAATGTAAGTCCGAAAACTATTCGTTTCTAAGATAAAAGTTTTAAATAAAATTCAAATTTTAATGAATATCTCGAAACATTTGTTGTTACCTATTTCAATAAATTATCTTTTGGACCTTTTAGCGTGTCCTGTATCCAGCGTTATTATATTTTATTAGATTTCTGCTGAAAAAAAATTTCACCATGTATATTTTTAAATTTTTATAATGGTTTTGATACAACGTTATAAAATACAACTCTTTGTCTTTTATTTTTTATTTTTTTGTTGTATAGCGCCTTTCGTTTTGAGTTGTATTTTTAGTTGCTTTAGTTGCAAAAGTTTAGATATTATTTGTTTATCAGAAAGCGAAAAGAGATTCGCAAAAATATAAAGAGTTGTATATCTAATAGACGCTATAACTTTTGGTTAAAATTCCCTGTATTTCGGACATGTGTTTATTCAACAAAAATATTTACCCGTACCGCCCTTCGGTTTAGTTTATTTCTGTTTAAACTTAAATTTTAAATTATCAAGATATGAAGCAGTGCATAGGGATCATACTTCCACATATTTTTTATCACCCTTTGCATCAACCTACCCTTATCTCAAAATTTTCAATGGTACCCTGCATTTATTGTAAAGTATTATGAAAGAGCACACTTTTTTAAGTACATCCATATTAAAAAATTACAAAGAATACTTTTTAGAATATTTTAATTTAAAATTTTGGCAAAATAATTTATTTGTTAGGAAAAATGTATGAAAAGAATGTGAAATTTCTTGCCTGGTTGCACTACCTCACCCCCAAAAATTCAAGATTCCAATTTCCAAACAAATTCTTATGATTATTATTTAATCGGATTATCCCAAGTACCTGCTGCGACCCTAATTAGACAGCTAAATATTTAATTCACTGTAAACGAGAAAAACCTCGCTAAAGAATTGGTAGACTGTCTTAATATATTTAAATCTTTTTCACCAGACCAACTTATTTGAAAACATAAAATAGAAGTATGTTGCGTATATTATTTAGCTGGCCGATTTTTGCGATATAATGGACAAAATATGGAGGTTAAAGAGTGTAGCTACATCTACGTAGGAAAAGATTAACTAAAATTCACATTTAAATCATTGAATCAAAAACCGGAAGTGCTGTGGCGTCCTTAAGCAAGTTTCAGAAACACATACTAAGCTTGGTTTTTTTGACAACACATAATTAAGAGATTTCATCAATGTGGGCCACCAAGCTCTCAGCGTTTAAATATAATATATTTATTGTACTTTTTACTTTCCTATCTATATACAGATAAGGAAAGTATAGGAATCATGATTTTTTTCGACCTCCAGTTTTCGACGGATTTTTACGTTTTGGGGTCCCCTGAATCCGTTTTGACTATTTTCGGAATGATGTCTGTTTGTGTGTGTGTGTGTCAGTGTGTGTGTGTCTGTATCCACCATAACTCTTGAACCGATACAAAGAAAAACACCAAATTTTAAACTTAAGCTTTATTCCAGCCTGCGGTAAACTGATTAGATTTTGGGCAGAGTCGGAACATTTTGGGGGGTACTTTATTGGTGGTCATTTTTATATTTTATGAAATATATCCGTTATTTACGTTTGGAGAAGAAAATTCTTCAAATAAAAGTTACTTATATTATTATTATCTATAAGTTTTGTTATATACAAAATTTTCCTAAAATGGTCCGTATTCGAGAAATTCGACAAAATGTAAAAAAATTATTTTTTATAAAAATTTATCAGATAAAAGTTGTTTGTAATATAATTCTCTATAATTTTTATCCCATACATAATTTCTCTAAAATGGACCGTATTCAAGATATTTGAGAAAATGTGTAAATTTCGAATTTTGAAGAAAACTCAAAAACGGATAAAGGAAAAAACATTAAATTTTAAACTTAAGTTTTATTTCGGCCTGAGGTGAAATTATTAGATTTTGGACAAAGGCGGAACATTTGGGGGTACTTTATGGGAGGCCGTTTTTATATTTTATGGAATATATCTGGTATTTATGTTTGGAGAAGAAAATTGTTCAGATAAAAATTACTTACAATAGTATTATCTATAATTTTGGTTTTATACAATTTTTTTTTAAATGGTCCGTATTCGAGAAATTTGACAAAATGTAATAAAATTCAAATTTTTAGGAAAATTGTTTAAATTTGTGATATCGATCTCTATAATTTTTGTTTTTTATACGTTTTTCTAAAATGGACCGTATTGAAGGAAAAATGCTAAATTTAAATTTTGCAGTATTTTCGTTTTCAATGAATATCTATAGAAAAATGTTTCGAGTTAGATGTATGTGGAAAATGTATATATTTAGTTTATCCTCTAAACATTTATAGAGGTGCTCCAATAGGTTGTACAAAATAATCGGAAAAAGCCTATAATAGGAAAGTCATGTGTTGGACACATCAGATTTTTAATTTGGATCTTGAGTTTGAGACTTTGTGGGAAAATCCTCATTAACTGTGAGTGTGATAGATACGTTATCAAAAGGAGGAACAGTTAAATTATTTAAACCTGTCAAATCTATGGAACCCAAGTTACTATTATCAAAAGGAAGAAGAGTTAAATTATTTAACTCTGTCAAATCTATAGAGCCCAAGTTACTATTATTAATAGGAAGAACAGTAAAATTATTTAAACCTGTCAAATCTATAGAGCCCAAGTTAGTAGACATGTTACAGTTTGTATTTTTAGATTTCAGTGTTAATAAATTTTAAATTTTTACAGATATTTTTGCTATTACTTATTGCTACACTAATTTTTCCTATAATATCGGACACTTTTAGTTTGGCACCTTGCTCAGAATTCTACCTTCTGTATAATTGTCCAACTTATCCAGAAAATGGTCTAATTTCAAATTAAATTTCTTGATTAGGTTTTTGTCACTGTGTCTTCTCAAAATTGGAACAGACACCATTATAAAGTTAGTGTGGGTACATAGTTTCAGTTTCGAACAAATATTTCTGAATTTAGGGACACTGGACATGTCAAAATCATTAGCACCTGCTACCACAATCACAAAATCAGATAATGAAAATGTTTTTACTAATTCAGCTACATTCTCCAGTACATTGTCAAAATTCCCTCCTGGTTTAATAATAGATTGAATGTTGAAACTTTTGAATCCAGGAGACCGTTTCATATATTTATTTAAGTTAGTAGCAGCTTCGTCGCCTAATATTAATATGTTTTTCGAAGAAGTACTTTGCACTTCCCGTTTATTTTATTACAAAATTATTTCTAAAATGAGATTCATGAAAACCATCTTATGGTATTAATTACAAAATTTATCTTTTAAATCTATTGAAATAGTATACAAGTATAAAATGTATCAAAAAAAGATAATATAAATAAGTCAACATAATTTATACCTTGTTTGATTTTTTTTAGGATGCTCACAACTGCCTTTTAGACTTCGATCAGAACACATCATATTTCGCAGTGTATGATGGGCACGGGGGCCACGAGGTGGCCCAGTATTGCTCTCAAAAGTTGCCCAAATTCATTAAAGACTCTCAGGCGTACAAAGATGGCGATATCATTAAAGCCTTAACAGAAGGATTTTTGGGATTTGATGCGACAATTGCTACAAGGGAAGTCGTCAGTGTCTTGAAAGAAATAGCTGGAGACAAGGAAGCAGAAGAAGAGAGCGATGACGAAGAAAATGTCGATAATTTATATAAAGAGGCCACCATGCCAATTGAGCAAGTAAGTAAATATGAAACATATACATCCTCCCTATTCACAAAAAATAGTGGTTTGTGCAACAAGAGTGGATATGGACAATCCACTCGAGTTGTACAGTATTTTTTTCTACTACCACACAGAAAATTGGAAAAAATTTAAAATGTCCTAGATAACAATTATCCGGCAGAATTTTACAATGGTCTTATCGAAAAAAGAATTAATCAAATTAAGTTTTCAAAAAATAATTAATAATTAATAATTAATAATTAATAATTAATAATTAATAATTAATAATTAATAATTAATAATTAATAATTAATAATTAATAATTAATTAATAATTAATAATTAATAATTAATAATTAATAATTAATAATTAATAATTAATAATTAATAATTAATAATTAATAATTAATAATTAATAATTAATAATTAATAATTAATAATTAATAATTAATAATTAATAATTAATAATTAATAATTAATAATTAATAATTAATAATTAATAATTAATAATTAATAATTAATAATTAATAATTAATAATTAATAATTAATAATTAATAATTAATAATTAATAATTAATAATTAATAATTAATAATTAATAATTAATAATTAATAATTAATAATTAATAATTAATAATTAATAATTAATAATTAATAATTAATAATTAATAATTAATAATTAATAATTAATAATTAATAATTAATAATTAATAATTAATAATTAATAATTAATAATTAATAATTAATAATTAATAATTAATAATTAATAATTAATAATTAATAATTAATAATTAATAATTAATAATTAATAATTAATAATTAATAATTAATAATTAATAATTAATAATTAATAATTAATAATTAATAATTAATAATCATCAATAATCAATAATCATCAATAATCAATAATCATCAATAATCAATAATCATCAATAATCAATAATCATCAATAATCAATAATCAATAAATAATCAATAATCAATAATTAATAATAATAAAAATGTTTATAAAAAAGGTTTATAACTTGTGACTTACACACGTTTTTTTTGAGGTTATAGAAAAATACACCAATCTAGTAAACCCTACATTGAAAAATCTCAAGAAAGATGGAGATAAATTTCCAAAATCTCCCAACCTGAAAGGAAAAAAAGAAAATGAAGATGGAGTGGCCGCAGGTTCGTCATGTTCATCTGGCTCAGGAATAAATAGTACAGAATGTCTTCCTTCAAGCAGTTCAGAAGAAGTTAGTAGCTCTAATGCTGACGTTAAAGAAGAAAAAAAGTCATCGGATACCAAAGGTTTGTTGTTAGTTTCTTGTACAACTAATACATTATTAATATATCCTCATTAATACAACCAATTTTTTTAAGTGCTCAAAGAGTTTTTAAATTTTCAAGAATAAGGTATTGAAAGATTCTATCTGGTGATATCCATAACCCCTCCGCAAAATATAAACACTACTATATCATCTCATTTTTCCAAATGATACTCTGCCTAATTAAAATATTTGCTAGGTCAAAAGAAATTAGCATACAAAAAGTACAAATGGGTATTATTAATTACTAGTTAATGCTAACTCTTATTTAATACTATTGGAAAAGATAATAGAAACAACATTTACTGTCAGTAGCAAGTAAAAGTTTTACACATTTAACTTTTACGAATGCCGATTTGATTTAAGTTTTTCAACAAATCTAGCATTAAAAAAATATTTAGCAAATCGAGACAAATAACTAGATTTTTGGCATAAACAATGCCACAATAAATAATGATATAACCTTAAAAAATCAAAGCGCCAGAAATAACCTAAAAGTAAATGACACCATCTATTTTAATTTAGTTTCTCATTTTTTTAGATTCATTACAATCAATTTACCAACATTATGTTATAAATGCAAGGATTTTACTAGAACAGTTCAGTTTAATTCTAACATTTACTAGTAAATGTGTGTTCAGTTTAAAAATATTTAACTTTTGCTAAATTAGAAATAGCTCACTTATTCTTCACTTTTTTAATATATTTAAATTAATTATCATCCATTCTCATTATTTTTATTCATTTTATTTCGCTAAAAAGGCACTGCCTTATTTAGGTGGGCAAAGGCATCCGCATTTTTACGATTATTTTTTGTTGTAAACGGTAGAATTTAGAATTGATAGTATGGTTTCGTTCACCGCAAAAAATACATATGCTTGCGTTAAAAATTGTAATTCAGTTTTTTTATTTTTGGCTTTGTAAATAAAAAACATTGTTAAATAATAAAATCTTTGTTTAACATAAATCCAATTTAAAGTCATTCCTCTATTTTGCAGTTTTTGTAGGCTTTGTAAACAGTTATTATCCAATTGAAACATTAAAGATCCATAAAGTGCGGTTGTATGATAGTTTTATAAACTGTCAATCTTGAAAAGAGAGATAGAGAGATTTGATGCAATCCTTGAGAAGAATAGTTTTTTTGATATTTTTTTGCAAATATATTCGCAGTAGGGCTTCAATAATAAGTTTTCATTTAGAATAAATCCCAAGTATTTAAATTCACTAACCCATTCTACGTCCTCGTTTTCAATTCTAATTTTATATCTGTTGTAGTTTATTTGCTTTAGTTTTATTTACTTCCCAAAATCATTGCTTTTGTTTTTTGTGTATTGAGCTTAAGTTTATTTTAGTTTAAAAACTGTGTTAAGACTATCAATATGTTATTAATTTTATTCAGAATTGCCTCGAGGCTATCTCCATAATACACTATTAGTGTATCATCTGCAAATAAATGAATAAAGTCACATTCGATGTAGTTTGTGTCATTTAAGTAGATGATAAATAGAAGTGGGCCTAAAATGCTCCCTTGAGGTACCCTTAAGATACTTTCCAACACTTCAGATGTTGATTTACTTAGCCTCGTAACCAGGTCAGGACTCTTCCTGCAAAATTTGACGATCTATTGTCTCAAAAGCTCTTTTGAAGTCTAGAAAGACTGCTACAATATATTTATTTTTATCGAATAATTGCTTCCATTTAGATATCATTACCTGTAAAGATGTTTCACATGAATGCCCTTCCCTAAAACCTGACATTATTATTAAAATATTCCAATATTTGGTCATGAAGCACAGTTTCTAATAATTTCTCGATGGTTGGAAGAGTATTGATAGGCCTCAAGTTTGAAGCATCTGTATTGTTTGTAATTTTTTGGATTGGAACTCTCTTGATTGTTTTTAGTTGATCAGGAAATGTGCATTTTCTAGTGATGTGTTAATAAAGTTTAAAATTGCAAAACCAGACGTATAAAATGTCTCCTTCAAAAACTTTCGTCATAGCTTCCCTTATTTTTTATTGAGAAAACAGATTTTTTTTTGTTGATCTATTGTTATCAATTTAAAATCGGTTAATGTTGACTGAACATCATTTAAAAATTATGATGAACAATTTTCGGTCGGAGGTATTGTATTTATTATTTCATATATGCTATTTACAAAAAGTTATTTAATTTGTTAGCTGTTTCTTCCTCATTCTTAGCAAAAGGTACACACCCATCAATCATAAATCCAACTAAGCCAAAATCAATTTCCCTATTATTACATTTAATTAAGTCGTTTTGTGTTCGTCTATTTTATTTTCAAAAAAGTTTTTTTTTGTACTCCAATGAGTTTAGAACTCACAGATTTATTTATTTATTTATTTATTTATTTATTTATTTATTTATTTATTTATGTAGCACTTACAGAATGTAAAATTCCAAATAGTACAATATATCTAATCTAACACAAACAATTATTGTAGGAGTTAAAAACAATATAAAATAATTTAAAAAATATATGTAAAATATTAAAAAAAAAGGAAGAATAACACAACACCGCGAGACGATACGAGTAAAACTTCACCATTCAGGAGTTGCAAGTCCCTTTTCAGCGCCAAAATATTACAATTAAATATATCACAGTCTGAGTAAAATTTGTTATAGTTTTTGCATAAGCGATCAATAAATGTACTTTGTCCGTAATTCAAAAGTGATGTGTGCCGAGTCCGTCGGGCAGGAACCAATAGTTGAGCTCTCTCGAGTAGCGACCCGCACTTGATAGAACCACCTATTAATTTAGCCAGGAATAGGAGTAAAGCCTGTTTTCTTCTGCAATCCAAGCTCTGCATGCCCCAAAGTATTAATCTTATTTGATAACATGTGTTATGACTATGAAATTGGTGTTTAAAGAGCAGGTATTTTACGAAATTACCTTGCACCCTTTCAATTCTATTGATATGACAGGTGTAAGTAGGTTGCCAAATAACAGAACAGTATTCCAGGACATTTCTCACCAGGCCATTGTAAAGTGTCATGATTGCTTTTGTGTCATTCACGTAGTATGTTTCTTGATGAAGCCAAGCATTCTAAAGGCTTTGCATACATGGTTGTTAAAAGATATTGTGGTATCAAAAATAATGCCCAGATCAATAACTGTCGAGGATATATCTAGGTTGACGGTGTCAATACTGTAACAATTAAGAGTAGGATTGTGAGATCTTGTAAAATGCATGGTTGTGCACTTAGAAATATTTATAGAAAGAGCGTTATTTTTACACCAGGTAGCAAACCTGTTTAGGTCAGATGGTAAAACTTTAAATCATCCGCGAAAAGAAGGCATTGGCTATTAAGAAAGCAGGACGTAACATCATTAAAGAATAAGGAAAACAATAGGGGACCTATATGTGAACCTTGAGGAACACCGGATAGGACTGAACCGTCACATGATACGGAATTATGCACTATGACACGTTGACACCTATTACTCAAATAAGATTTAATCCAGTAAAAATAAGAACCATAGATACTGATTTCAGAGAGTTTCTTAAGTAGCAATTCATGACTGACACTGTCAGAAGCTTTTGACAAATTGGTGTAGATGGTGTCAAACTGGTAACCATTTTCAATTGATGAAATTAAGAAGTCTTGATAGATTGCCATATTAGTTGATGTCGAGCGATTTTGATAGAAGCCATGTTGTTGAGGTGAGATATAAGTTTTTATATGTGTAAAACATCTCCCCTGTTAGTATGGATTCAAATAGTTTTAGAATTATTGATATAATGGAAATACCTCCATAATTCTTTATATCGCTTTTATCACCTTTCTTGTAAACTGGCATAAGGTGGGAAAACTTCCAAGCAGATGGAAATATTTCACTATCAAATGATTTTTGGAAAATTTGGCTAAGTGGGATTGACAAGGAGTCACAACACCCTTTCAAGAACGACGGTGGTACCCCATCAGGGCCCGCAATTTTACTAGAGTCAAGACTTTTTATTTTAGAAGATACTTCACAAGGAATGAAAGTGTGTATGGCTAAAGTGGAATAAAATAGCACAGCGGGAAGATCAATTTTTCGGTTTAAGTCATCTTTAGAATAGCACGTTTGGAAATAAGATGCGAAGCCATTTGTAATTTCTTCAGGATCACTGAGTTTATAGTTTCCGTACTTCATTAAATTAGGCAATCATTACTCTCGTTGCAAAACTTTTAATAAATGTCAAAAAAATGTTTTATGTTTTGTGGAATTAAGTGCTCGGAGTTCGAAACAAACATTAAGTAACACCAGTCAGTACGAAATTTTAATTGAGTATTTAATGTAATCACTCAGTACATTTCTCTTCTGACCAATTGCTTTTTGAAAATGTGTATGCGCTGTATCCCTTTCTCTGGCTTGTATTTTTACCTCATTATCATACCATGGAATATGATTTTTCTTTATTTGTACCTCTAAGGGGTGCAATACTGTTAAAAATTCTACTACAATTACCTTCCAGTTGACTAAAAATTTCATTTATATTATTTGAGTAAAATAACCAATCACATGTTATTAAATCTAAATTAATTTGATTAAATTTATCTTCATTTAATTTTCTATATAAAATATTTAATAAAAATTAATACTTATAATGGAATTATCTGTTATTTTCGGAAAATGATGAACGCTTACAGAAATATTTTGAATTGATAAAACATAATCAATTAATGTTGAACTATTATTGCTTATTCTAGTATAATCACTTACATGCCGTGATATTCAATTAAACTTTTATTTTTTACTATAAAAACTATCTACAAAATAATCAATATTAACATCACCCACGATTAAAGCTTTTATGTTTTCTGACAAGAAATCTTCACACCATTCTTCAATTTTATATAAAGACAGCATCACTGGAACTGGGTGAATGGTAAAAACCACTAATCCCCATTTAGTTTTTTATTAACCGTAACGTTAACAATTTTACACCAATAATTGGGCTCTAGAATATCTTCCCTCT